TTCGAAAGCACGCGAGTTCCTGCGGTGCTTCTCAGCCTGCAGGTTTCGCAGCCTGCGCTCTGCAGTACAAGTGCTTTTCAGCATGCGACATCCTGCGGTGCTTCTCAGCCTGCAGGGTTCGCAACGTGCGGTTTGCAATGCATTCCTTTTCAGTATGTAGTTCCTGCGGTGTTTCTCAGGCTGCAGGGCTCCGAGGCTCTTCGCTTCGATGCCAATGTTTTCAGACGCCGTAGCTCCGTTCCGTAAACATCTTCCAAGAACCGCTCGCAACCTTTTGCAGCTGGCGGTCTGCAGACGTAGTCTGTCTCAGCACGCGAGCTCCCGCACGCTTCGCCGGCTTTTGCTGCGCGGACAATTTTCTCACACACGTCAGCGCCGTTTGTAGGCGTCAGAAAAACACGTAGACATTCACGAAGGGCTTAGTCTGTATATCGTCACATCCTTACATACGCAGTCGTCGAACACATCGGTGTACATTCAGCGCGTTGTCCTTCTACAGCATTCTTTCCGTTGATAACAGTGTTCTGATGGGTTCGCTTCGTTCTAAAAGCGTTGATAGCAGTGTCTCGTCTGCGGACAACTCATTCTATATCAACTCACTGATACCGAGTTTCCTTTCACCATAAGTGAATGCATACCAGTGTATGTTGGTTACTACAAAAGTGGGTTCCTACAACCGACTTCATGATCGCTATCGTCATCGCAGATTTCACTCATCCTCATCACCACGACTGGTTCACGTTGGCCTGCGGTGCTTCTCAGCCTGCAGTTCCTTTCGTTACACTGTAGTTGAAGCCGTTCATGGCAGTGACTCGTTAAAAGACAACTTTAGTATTGGGGGAAGTGTCGATAGCAGCGTTTCTTTTTACTTATACAAGCGTTGATAGCAGTGTCTCGTTTGTGGACAACTCATTATATATCAACTCATTCATACAGAGTTTCTTTTCGCAGCAAGTGAATGCACAGCAGTGTATCTGCATTACTGGCCCCCACTCCATTATCACTATCATCATCAACGATTTCCTACACGCGCGTGCGCGGCGGTCGCAATGAGTGAATAGTTTGCAGAGACTTCTCGCATTGATACCCATGGGTCACTTCAGAGTGAACTCATTTGTGATCTTCTTTTATTGGAAGTTGAATCGGTTGATGGCAGTGCCTCTTTTAAACTCCACTTTGGTATTGCTAGTAGTGTCAATGCCAGCGTTTCTTTTTAATTGTGCAAGCGTTGATAGCAGTGTCTCGTTTGTGGTTAGTTATAACAGCGTTGACAGCAGTGTCTCGTTTGCGGACACCTCATTGTACATCAACTCGCTGATACCGGGTTTCCTATCAACACCATCATCATCATCCTTAACCATGTTTGCTCGAGTTTCACCTGGCCGTCCAGCCGCGGCGGTGCTCCTCAGCCTGCCTTGTCACAATGCCAGCACGCGGCAAGGCATCGCCCCCGCCACCCCCGGCCCCGTGCGATGGCCCGTGGGAGATTCTGCCGGATCCGCCCGCACCGACTCCTCAGCCAGGTGTCGACGTGGTCTTTGAGCAGGCTCACCTCGAAGACATCCGCCGTACACCAGGGATGGGCGGCAAGACCGCCTGCCAGTGGCAGCGCGCGCTGCGCGCCGAGTGCATTGTCAACAACTTGTCGTTCAAAGACGTAACAAACGACCCGTCCTACGACTGGAAGCAACTGCTTCGGTCTGCCGCTCCGGGTTTCGCTGAGCGCATAATCGGGCAGGGCATCGCCCAGGTTCTCTTTCGCATCATCGAGACAGAGCGCGACCCTAACTACTCCAACACGGATGGCCACGGCAGGCACTTCTTCGAGTTCCGTCGTGCAGACGGTTCAGCCATGCGCCTGCATTACCATAAGAACGGCCGACCCGATGAGCCCACCTATGTCGGTCCACCACGCGCCGTTGCTCAGCCTGCCGTGCCTGAGCCTGGCGCTGCTCAGCCTCATGTTCCTCGTGGCGGCGCTGCTCAGACTGCCGTGCCTGACGGTGGCGCTGCTCAGCCTGCCGAGACTGGCGGTGATGCCCCACTGCTCTTCACACAGGAGCACCTGCAAGAGGCAGCCTGCTCGCGCCAGATTGTGGGCCGCGACGAAGCCAGCGCCGCTCTCCAATCGCTGTTGCACTACCACCATGGCGAGACTGCCCAGGTGCTGTTGACATCACCGATGGCTCAGCATTTGACTGGCTTCGATGGGTGGCACATATCGAAGGTGCGCGCGACGTCATCCGCAATGGCGTCCACAGGGTCTACGCTGTCCGCTGGAATCCGCACTGGGCTCCAGAGGCCGTCTTCTGCTACGGCAACAACACCTACAGCACACTGGTGCCCCGCAAATCGCGCTACACAGGCTCGTGGAGCCACGCGCGAATTGTGACTCACCGGAACGCCAATTGGGTGACCGAACCGTTGCTATCTGCGGCCCCTGTGGCAGCTACGCCGTGGCTGGTGTTGCGGGATCAAATAACCTGGGAGTGATCTCTGGCAAACGAGATGTGGTGCTTCTCAGCCTGCACTCATGTGACACGCAATGCCGTGCCCTGCAATCGCGTGGTGTTTCTCAGCCTGCACTCGCAGGTCCTTCGGAGGTCAATTGTTATGAGTTCGGCACGGTCTCGGTCAAGTACAGCGTGCTGTGGGGATCCCGAGATGGGGCCTGGCTCAAGGTGCTCAAGACGTACTGGAGTGTCCCAGAGCCGGAGTGCCAGCTGATCCTCGGGAGTTGGAACGGCATTTTCAGGCCGTGGCCGGACACGTTCTGGATCAGGACGGGGGGGTCCGAGCCCGAGATAGATGCTAGCGCTCTGCAGTACAAGTGCTTTTCAGCATGCGACATCCTGCGGTGCTTCTCAGCCTGCAGGGTTCGCAGCGTGCGGTTTGCAATGCATTCCTTTTCAGTATGCGAGTTCCTGCGGTGTTTCTCAGGTTGCAGGGCTCCGAGGCTCTTCCCTTCGATGCCAATGTTTTCAGACACCGTAGCTCCGTTCCGTAAACATCTTCCAAGAGCCGCTCGCAACCTTTTGCAGCTGGCGGTCTGCAGACGTAGTCTGTCTCAGCATGCGAGCTCCCGCACGCTTCGCCGGCTTTTGCTGCGCGGACAATTTTCTCACACACGTCAGCGCCGTTTGTAGGCGTCAGAAAAACATGTAGACATTCACGAAGGGCTCAGTCTGTATATCGTCACATCATTACATACGCAGTCGTCGAACACATCGGTGTACATTCAGCGCTTTGTCCTTCTAGCTGGGTCGCTTCGTGCTGAGGCTGAGGCTGATGCAGGCTGAGGCTGAGGCAGGCTGAGGCCGAGGCCGAGGCCGACGGCAGACTGAGGCTGAGGCTGAAGCAGGCTGAGGCTGAGGCAGAGGCAGGCTGAGGCTGAGGCTGAGGCTGAGGCAGGCTGATGCTGAGGCAGGCTGAGGCTGAGGCTGAGGCTGATGCAGGCTGAGGCTGAGGCAGGCTGAGGCTGAGGCCGAGGCCGAAGGCAGACTGATGCTGAGGCTGAAGCAGGCTGAGGCTGAGGCTGAGGCAGGCTGAGGCTGAGGCAGGCGGAGGCTGAGGCTGAGGCAGGCTGAGGCTGAGGCTGTGACTGCGACTGCCGTTGCCACTGCGACTGTCCTCGCGAATGCGACAACGACTGCGAGAACAGCAGAATTGTACAACTGGATTCTCATCCGAATCTTGAGGGGAATGCTTCCAGATATGCTCCTACACATGGCTGTTAGGTTGCTTTGCCGGGATAATTTTCCTCATGGACTTCGGAGGTAGGACAGGCTGGGGGTGGGTCCCTACCCAAGGAGAGGGCCGGGGCTATGCTCGGCCACCTTCGCACCCAAACAGCGCCAACGCATATAGGCGCCACCTGCCACCACCTCCTCCCCTTTCCCGATGTGCATTATCGTGTTGACCGTCCGTTTCTCCTTCTTCTCTCTCGTTGCCTCATGGTTTCTGTTCGCCCTCCCCCCGCAGGCCGCGGGGGTGGGCTCGAAGGCTTCAGTCGCCCGTTCGAGAATATTTCCCTGAGTCGCTGAGTCTGAGTCGCTGAGCCGCTGAGTCGCCGAGTCGTTGGAGGAGGAGGAGGAGGAGGAGGAGGAGGAAAAGGAGGACGAGGAGGAGGAGGAGGAGGAGGAGGAGGAGGAGGAGGAGAAGGGGGAGGAGGAGGAAGAGGAACGTCGTCACATGTAACACCTGTCGTGTTCATTGTGTGAGGACCTCGCATGGTACTTGTCAGGGCCGTCTTGGGGTTGTTCTGGGCTCCCCTTTGGCAATCTTGGGGGTCGCTTGGGGCCCTCGTGGGCCGTCTTTGGGGCCCTTTTGCGCCGTGTTGGGACTTTGTTGGGGCGTCTCTGGGCCCTGTTAGGTGTCTGGTGGCCGTGTGGTGGGTGTCTGGGGGTCGTAATGGGGTCGTTTTGGTCCGTCGACCGGCCTTCGAAGTCTTGGGTCCCGAGGGAAGCCAATCCTCTTGGGCCGCCCTAGGGCCGTTGCGGATGCCCCTTGGGCCATCGTAGGGTCCTCTTGGGCCATCTTGGGATTCGCTTGGGGACCTCAGTTGGGCCATCTTGGGGCAATCGTGGAGGCTTGCTGGGCTCATCTTGAGCTGACGGAAATCAGAAAATGTACGAGAGTCCGAGAATCGCTCACACACCCAAGGGAATTCCATGATTTTGGCTTGTTCGGACCCTGTTGGATGTTCTCTTGTGGTCTCTTTGGGCCCTCTTGGAGGCATCTTGGGCCGTATTGAGGCCATATTGCCGCCTTGGGGCCATTCTGGGCCGGATTCGAGACACCTTGGGCCATCTTGGTGTCCTTGATTGCCTGCGTGGGCCGTCTTGGAAGCTCGGGACGCGGACCCACCGTTTCAAGAAGGGATCGTGGCGTTGGGGTCGTGGACTTATCGTTTTTTACAAGGGGTTGTGGCCTCGGGAGGTGGGGCGATGCATGCGCGGGCCAGCCAGTAGAGGGGGGGTCCTTCATTGGAATGTGGAGACCCTACCAGACAGCGCTTGGCATTTTCCACGTCTCAGCGTGCCAGGGGGCACAGTGGCGGACAATGTAGCTCTGGGCTGGAGCGCATGCTGTGCGGCGTGGAGAAAGGAGTGGTGGACAGGTTCCTCCAGGAGCACCGCTTCTCGGACATTAACCACTGCCGCCGCGCAAGCCGCTGGCCTCTGTCGCGCAAGTGCTGCCCATTGTCCGTGGCGGCCGTGAGGGGCGACGTGCTGGTTGTGACGCTGCTGCTCAAGCAGGGGGCGGACCCCGAGGCGTGTGGGCCTTGGGACGGGCCTTGCTGGAAGTCGGTCGGGCAGGACGGCCGCCAGCTCGTCGAGAGGGCTGCGGCGGACATTGGTCGAAGGCGAGCAAGTCGTCCAACACCGTTTGAGGCGCTTAGTGATTCTACAGGCTTGCCCCACATCCGCCAACCCCTTGAATTAGGTCGTTTGCGGCTCTGGTCAGTGAGTGCATCTGCTTGGTCACTGGTTTGAGTCGTTGTGGAGGCCACCTGGCCCGTCCTCGCCGCTTCGGAGGCGTCTTGGAGGTTAGCTGAACACCACTTCCCTTTTGGCTGTCTCTGGTGGGAATGCGGTCAACACCTCTTTCCCCAAACAGTGCTTGCACGTAGGGGTTCTTATTTCTTTTCTAAGGAACTGGGTCTGGGTGGCGGTCTGGCGGATCCGTGCTCGCCGTCGCCGCGTCGTTGCCGCCTCGTCGCCGCCCGTCGTCTGGGCCTGGGTGGCGGTCTGGCGGCTCCGTTCTCGCCGTCGCCGCCCCGTCCTCGCCGCGTCGTCGCCGCCCGTCGTCTGGGTCTGGGTGGCGGTCTGCCGTCTCCGTGCTCGCCGTCGCCGCCCCGTCGTCGCCGTCGCCGCCCCGTCGCCGCGTCGCATAGATTCTCCTTTTCTACCCCGCCCCCCCCCCAGGGTTATCCGTCCACCCCGGGGATGTGCAACTTACATATGAGTCTGCCACATCGTTCAGTCTAAATTTGAGTTCACACCATCCCAGCCAGGCCGGTCTCGACACCCCCCTCATCCTCGTCAAACATTTTTTTTGCGCGCAATCGTTTACCAACAACCATCAGTTTTCAACCACTTGCATACAATGGGACACAGTCCACACGCGCGCGTCGTCGCGCGCGCACGCCGAAATCCTTCAAACACCTTATGTTTCGCACGGGTTTCAAAGTCAAGTGTCCCCTGCAACATATAAAAAGCAAACGCTGGTTTTGCAACATGGTGTGGCAGAAAAGTCGGCGCGTGCGCACTCGCGAATTCTTAAGGAACCCATCGATTTTCCAACATGTTCACCGCATGCGACCAAACGGGCGTCTCGCTCGCGCAAACGGGCGTCTCGCTACGCTCGCTCCTTGCGCGCGTGCTGGGGGGGGGGGGGCGATCCCTGCTAAATAATACCATGCGTGCCTCGCGCGCGTCGGCCGCGCGCGCATGTCGACATCTTTCTAAATCCTGCATAACCGACACGTGGACACCATCATCATCACCATCATCATCATCATCATCATCATCATCAGCATCATCATCATCATCATCATCATCAGCATCTTCATCATCATCATCAGCATCAGCATCAGCATCTTCATCATCGTTGTCGTCATCATCAGCCTCATCAGCATCATCACCATCAGCCGCAGCATGATCATCACCATCATCATCCTCATCATCCTCATCATCATCATCATTATCATCATTATCATCATCATTATCATCGTCATCATTATCATCATCACCAGCATCATCGTCATCATCGTCATCATCATCATCATCAGTATTGGCGTGATCGGCGTGATCAGCAACGGCGCCGTCATTGGCCTTGCCGTCGTCATAGTCATCACTGTTACTAGCATCGCTACTACCATCGTGTCCTCCTCCATCGATGCCGCCATGATACCGGGCCAGCCCGAGCAACCAACTCGCATTGAAGTGCCCGCGCGCCAGCGCGGCTTGCGGGAGGCGCTGGGAAGTGCCCTGCGGTCAGCGACACCGCGGCCGCGTCGGTCGCGTCAGGTTAGCTAGCCGCTCCGCGCGCGAGCCTGCGCGCGCTAGCGCGGCCGCAGCGATGCGCCAGCCAGCGCCAAGCAGTTAGCGCAATCGCCGCCGCACGGGTTTTGCAAGCCAAGTTGCGGGTGGGTGGGTAGGGGGATTGCGCCAGCAGAGGAGTTGACAACTTCAAGTTCGGCAGAACGAACTGCACCGCATATATTTTCTTTTCCAAGACAAGGGAGCAGTCTCTACCTCCATCCCCCCAGACTTATCCCCGATCGGTTTTGCTTGTGAATTCATGTATGATCCTGGTCCCTCGTCCGTCTTAAATATGGCTGTGTACCTTCCCACCCATGCCAGTATGGACACCCTCGCCATCCTTTGCAACAGATATTATGGGCGCGCTCTCGTTTATCAGAAATTACCAGTTCCCAAGAATCTGTTGCAACACCGTATGACGATGTGCACACGCGCGTCGTCGCGCGCGCATGCCGAAGTTCATGAAAATACCTTCGGGTTCGCAAGGGGTTCGAAATCTAGTGCCACGGAAGCATATAATTACTCACTGCGTGGAGCTCACCATACGTGCATCTATTCGCATGGACCTGTCCGCCGTGAATGTCTAGGCGCAAGAGCTTTCGAATATAAACTGGCTTCAGTTGCGACTGTCTGGTCATGAATCTAACTGCGAATGAATTGGAGTGTGGATGAGCCTCAGTAGTACGAGGGCGCCTATGCGCATGAGCCTGGGGCCTCCTGGGGCCTCCTGAAACCTACTGGGGCTTCCTGGGGCCTCCAGGAGCCTCTTGGGGCCTCCTGGGGCCTCCTGGGACCTCCTAGGGAGGATTCGTGCCCCAGGAGAGGCCCAATATATAGCAACAGACGTACATAATAAAACATTGCGGATTGGAGCCGCAGGAGAAGGGCAGTCTATAGGGATACACGTAAACACCAAGGACTCGAGCCCCAGGAGAGGCCCAAGATATAGGAACATAGGTACAACAGTTAGGATTGTGCACACTGGAGAAGGACAATCTATAGAGATATACGTATAACGTCAAGGGTTCGTGCTCCAGGTGCGGCCCAGTCTATAGGAACGTCGTAAAACACATTGGGTTGGAGCCACTCCTGTTGCCTTCTGAGGCCTCCTGCTCCTGGGGCCTCTCGGGGTCTCCTGTTGCCTTCCGAGGCCTCCTGGCGCATCCTGTGGCCTCCTGGGGCCTCCTGTGGCTTCCCGAGGCCTCCTGGATCTTCCTGGGGCCTCCTGGAGCCTCTTGGGACATCCTGTTGCCTCTTGAGTCTTTATGTGGCCTCCTGATGCCTCCTGGGACCCCATGTGGTCTCTTGGGGCCTCCTGGAGCCTGTTGGAGCCTCCTGTGCCCACGAGTCTGGCCACCAAAACACGCAAACCGATCGAGGCATCCTCAAAATCTGGCCCACCTGGGGAGTGACACTGAGCGCCTCGCTCGAGACAGCCTCCAAATCTGCTCCGAAAGCGAAGGGTGTTGGGACAGAACACGTGCAAACCGCTTGAGACATCCCCCCAACGCGGCCGCGAACGGGACCGTGAAATACCCTTCGGCGGCCCCCCCTAGAGTGGTGAACATGAGCGCCTCGCTCGAGACAGCCTCCAAATCTGCTCCGAAAGCGAAGGATGTTGGGAAAAAACCCATGCAAACCGCTTGAGGCATCCCCACACAACGGCCGCGAACGGGACAGTGAAATACCCTTTCGGCGGCTCCCCTTAAGGGTGGTGGCACTGAGCGCCTCGCTCGAGACATCCTCCAAATCTGCTCCGAAAGCGAAGGATGTTGGGACAGAACACAGGCAAACCGCTTGAGGCATCCCCACAAAACGGCCGCGAACGGGATCGTGAAATACCTTTCGGCGGCTCCCCTTCGGGGGGTGACAATGAGCGCCTCGCTCGAGACGTCCTCCAAATCTGCTCCGAAAACGAAGGATGTTGGGACAGCAAGCTGGCACACCGCTTGAGACATCCCCACAAAACGGCCGCGAACGGGGCGTGCGTGAGTCTCACCATGAGTAAGTCTGAGTAGGAGTAGGTCTGAGTATGAGTAGGTCTGAGTATGGGTAATTTTGTGTGTGAGTAAGTCTGGGTATGAGTAAGTCTGAGTGAGAGTCAGTCTGTGTATGAGTAAGTCTGGGTATGAGGAGGAGAAGGGAGGAGAAGAGGGAGAAGGAGGAGTAGGAGGCGTCCAAGTAATAACAATAACCCCATCTTAGGATATGGGGGAACAAACACATGGTTTGGCAACGCGATTTGTCAAACGAAGTTTGCGCCCGCGCTCTTGCGAACTGTTGCGAAGAACCCTCGTTTGTAAAATGTTTTACACCACGTGCTTCCACATTGGCCTCTCGCGCGCGCGTGTCGAAATTGTTCGGACGCCTTTGCGCGCGTGCTGTCGCACCATCACCTTGCAACAATGGGGTGCAGTGCACACGCGCGCGTCGACACGCGCGCATGCCGAAATCCTGGACACACCTTCGAATTCGCAGGGGTTTCAAAATCGAGTGCCCTGAACATTTAAGACCACACGGTTTATCAACATCAGTTCAGTTTTCATAAAATTCATTTGCTCGCGCTCTTGCGGATTCTTTAGTAAACCATCGGTTTTCCAACACCTTCATCACAGTCTGCCAAGCGGGCCTCCCGCGCCGCATGTCGGACTCATTCGAACGCCCTTGCGTGCGTTCAGGGGGGGGGGGGGCACGATCCGTGTCAAATAGTACCACATGGGCCTTTCGCGCGCGTCGGCCGCGCGCGCATGTCGAACTCTTTCGGGAACTCTCATCGCCGACGCGAGGACATCGTCATTGTTATCGGCGGGCGTGATCAACATCGGTGCCGTCATTGGCCTTGCCGTCGTCATCGCCACCATCGTCACCATCATCGCTACTATCAGCATCGTGTCTACCATTGTCGGCGTTGCCATGATACCGCGCCCGCCCCAGTCATGGACTTGCACCGCAGTGCCCTCTGGGAAGTGCACAGCGGTCCGCGCTACCGCGGCCGCGTCGGCCGCGCCAAACTAGCTGTCCGCTGTGCGACCGCAGAGATGCACCAACCAACGCCAAGCACTCATCGCAATCGCCACCGCATGTGTTTTGCAAATCAAGTTGCGGGTGGGTGGGTGGGATTCTTGCAAGAGCATGGTATTTGTGAGTTCGTTTGTAAAAATCAAATGCACCACGTACATGGTTTCACATTTATATGTATCCACTTGGATTGCACAGCGTTCAATGTACAACCTATGTTCTCTTTTATGAGAGAGTATTAGGAACTACCTCCCCCCTTCCCAGGGCTAACGGTCCATATCTCCGCGTTGTAATTTGCACATGGTTCTGCCCCATCGCCCATGTTAAATATGAATTCAGAAATACCTTCCCAGGCAGGCTGGAGGTCGTACCCTCCCTCATCCTTTGCATCAAATAGTATGCGCGCGCACTCTTTTATCACACATCATTAGTTTTCAAGAACCCCTGGCAAAAAAAGGGACGAAGTGCACGCGCGCGTCGTCGCGCGCGCATGTCGAAATCTTTCAACCATTTCAGCTTTCGCAAGGGATTCAAAATCGAGTGTCCCGGACGGTTTTTTTCGAACGCATTCTTTCGCAACACGGTTTTTTTTTGTTGTTCCAAAAATGTCTGCCTCTCATGCTCTTGCGACTTTTTAAGGAAACCATCGGTTGTTCAACATTTCAGAACATGTTTCCATATTGGCCTCTTGCGCCCGCGTGCCGAATTCGTTCGGACGCCCTTGCGCGCGTGCTGTCGCAAGAATCTTTGGCAAAAAGCTGGACGAAGATCACGCGCGCGTCGTCGCGCGTACATGCCGGCATCCTGTAACAACCCTCGGCTCCGCAAGGATGTCAAAGCCCAGTACTTTGAAAACATATAACAGCACATGGTTTTTGCAACATCAGTTGTCAAACATTCTGCGCTCGCGCTCTTGCGGGATCTTAAGCCATCCATCTGCTTCCAACATTTTCACCAGCATGTGCCAACGGGCCTTTCGCGCCGCATGTCGAAGTCATTTGAACGCCCTTGCGCGCGTGCTGGGGGGTGGGGGACGATCCGTGTCAAATAATGCCACGCGGGCCACTCGCGCGCGTCGGCCGCGCGCGCATGTCGAACTCCTTCAAAAACCTTCATCGCCGACGCGAGGACATCGTCATTGTTATCGGCGGGCGTGATCAACATCGGTGCCGTCATTGGCCTTGCCGTCGTCATCGCCACCATCGTCACCATCATCGCTACTATCATCATCGTGTCTACCGTTGTCGGCGCCGCCATGATCCCGCGCCCGCCTAAATAACAGACTCGCACTGAAGTGCCCGCTGGGAAGTGCCCAGTGGTCCGCGCCACCGCGGCCGCGTCGGTCGCGCCAAATTGGCTGGCCGCTGTGCGCGCGGGCACGCACGGGCTAGCGCGGCCGCAGAGATGCACCAGCCAGCGCCAAGCATTCATCGCAATCGCCGCCGCATGGTTTTGCAAACCAGGTTGCGGGTGGGTGGGTGGGATTTTTGCAGAGCATGGTATTTGTCAATTCGTTTGTAAAATTCAATCGCACCACATATATTCTACCATCTAGATTGCGCAACGCAGGTCGCGCTGCATAGGTTGCCTCACATAGTTTGCGCCGCACAGATCGCATCGATTGCGCCACGTGGGTTGAGCAATATACAGTGTACAACACATGTCGTTCCACATGTACCTTACCACATTGAGTGTGCAACACAGGTCGCACCGCATAGGTTGCACCATATAGCTTGCACCCCACACATTGCAACACATCGGTTGCGCCATTTAACTTAAATGGCGTAGACACATTGTTTCGGGTCCACGCTGTCTCACATATTATGTGACAAAGGGTTTAGACCGTGCGGTCAAATCCGTTCTAACTATTACAAACTTGCTGGCTGGTTCGATGGCAGGGTCGCTGGCAGGTTGGCTAGCGAACTGCTGGTGGGCTGATAGGGTTCGAATTGGCTTTCGATTAAGCCTTGGTTGTTCTCCGATTGGGTGTTTTTCGGAATAATCCCCGATTGTGCCCTGGTTGGGTTCCGATTTGGTTCCGATTGGATTCCGGTTGGGCTCCGGTTAAGCCCCGATTTTGCTTCGATTGGTTTCTCTTCGATTTCCAAGTCAGAAGCTCTCCAAAGAAGACCCGATAACGCCTCGATTGCGCCCCGTTGGGGAGCAGTCGGCGTCTTCGTCGTCGCCGTCGTGGGCTTCGTTCTTGATGTCGTCGTCGTCGTCGTCGTCGTCGTCGTTGTCGTTGTCGTTGTCGTTGTCGTTGTTGTTGTTGTTGTTGTTGTTGTTGTTGTTGTTGTTGTTGTTGTTGTTGTTGTTGTCGTCTTCGTCTTCGTCCTCGTCGTATTATTCGTATTCGTCGTCGTCGTCGTTGTCGTCGTCATCGTCGTCATGGTCGTTCCATTGTCGCGCTCGTCTTGCCTGGCTCCTGGGTAAAGGCCTGCAGACTGCAGCCAAGTTCGGGTCGCGACGGCGACGGCGACGGTGACGGTGACGGCGGCGACGACGCTCACAGGCATGTCGTGGTGCTCTCAGGCATGCCGTTGTATTTTCGGTGGAGGATAAGTGTTCTCGGTGCTGGCGGGATTTCATGCGGTGCTCGCAGGCTGAATTCTGTGCTGGCAAGCTCCAACCCAGAAAACGGCTGGAGCATCACCAGGAGTCAGCTGCTGCAGAACTGCGCGCTCCAGCGTAGAAAAAGCCAGGAACATCGCCAACAGCTGACTGTCAAACTGCACGCTGGCTGGCTGGCTGGTTGGCTGGTTGGCTGGCTTGCTGGCTGTCTGGCTGGTTGGCCTCTTGGTGGGCTGGCTGGTGGCTGGCTGGGTGGCTGGCTGGCTGGCTGGCTTGCTGGTTGACTGGTTGGCTGGCTTGTTGGCTTGCTGATTGGCTGGCTGGTTGGTTAGCTAGCTGGCTGCTGGTTTGCTGGGTAGCTAGTTAGCTGGCTGATTCGCTGGCTGGCTGCTCGCTCGCTGGCTGGCTGGTTGGCTTGCTGGCTGGCTGGCTGTTTAGTGGGCTGTTTAGTCGGCTGGCTTGCTGGCTGTCTGTCTGGCTGGCTGGCTGGTCGGCTGGCTAGTCGGCTGATTGGCTGGTTGGCTGGTTGGCCAGTTTGTCGGTGGGCTGGCTGATTGGCTGGCTGGCTGGCAGGCTTGCTTGCTTGCTTGCTGGTTGGCAAGGCCAATTCAGCCAGCCAGCCAGCCAGCCCAGCCAGCCAATCAACCACCTTGCAGCCAGCCAGCTAGCAAACCAGCCACTCGGCCAGCCAGCCAGCCAGCCAACCGGCCAGCCAACCAGGCTGGTTTGATGGCTGGTTGTCTGTGTGATTGGTTAGCTGGCTGGCTGGTTGGTTGGTTTGTTGGTTGGCTCGCTGAGTGCCTAAGTTGTCCAGGTTGGCTTCTGGTTGGATCTCGGTTGGCGTACGACCAAAGCACTTTTGAGTTACGCTCGACTTACACACAAACACGTTTTGGGTGCATTCTGTCTGGATCTTGGTTGGATTCTGGTTGAACTTCGGAGGACTCTGCGCTAACTGGTGGTGCTGTCAGGATCTTTGGCTTAGAGTGCCGCGCCGCCAGTTGTGGCCCACCACGGTTTGGCGCGGCACGCTATACACTCCCTGGTCCCCCGGTGTCCACGTCCCGAGCCTTTCCCAGCCTCCCGCCCCTCGGAGCAGAGCGGTACGCTATCCGCTTGCAAGGCACAACGTGTCGCCGGGGCCGTCGCCACGACACGCTAAGCAGAGTTTCCGACTCCCCCCCTCTCGGTCGAAGGCTTGCCACGCAGTCGGGGGCCTTCTGGAGCATCTTCCACGTCGTGGACACCACCGGCCTCGAGTGGGAGCAGCCGCTGTTCCGCGATCTGCGGCGCGACGATCCTTTGCTGCGGCAGCCGGCGCAGGCGGCCTGATCGGGGGCGCTGGCGGGGCGATGGAGCCGAGTAGTCCCAGGGCGTGCGTGGGCTCCTCGGCTCGGGGTGCACCGCTCGCTCGCTGCTCTCTTCATCTTCTCATGCTCCTGCCCTATGGGCTTGCATTTTTTCTTCTTTGTTGCATGCCAGGCTCATGCCATGAATTTGCCATACTGGAGATTGGTGCTTGCGAATAATTTCCGTGGCCAGCGGGGGGGCAGGTCTCTGCTCTTTCACACCGCTGATGTGCCATCGGTTGCCTCAGGAGCGCAGTCGCGTGGTGCCAGTTACTCAGCCTATACAAACCACCACGTGCGCAGGTCCTATTGATATCATAGGCCGCCTCGTGGTGTGACGCCCATACCCCGACAGTGTGGAGGGAGCGCTGCGCAAGAGCGAACGGTAGAGAACCCATGTGAAGAGCCGTCCGAGACACGCGGGCTGGTCCATCCATACCCAGACCGACAGCATCACAGAAAACGCGTGGCGGCAATGTTTTCAACATGTTCGACCTCCAGAGGCCTTTTTCTAGCGCCGGGATCAACACCAGACAATTGGGATGATAAGCCAACCTTGGTGAAGGGGTCGAGAATTCTGGGGGCACGCGCCAAGAAACTATCGTGATGTCGGATGTCTGGGCTGCCGTGCCGGTGCGATCCAGCACACGACGAGGGGTGCGGCGAGGGTGGAAAGCCCTTTCTTTCTAGGAACCCAGACCGTCGCACAACAGACGGTCCGCCTGGCTCCTGATCCCAGCGAGTGCCGCGCAGAAGATCCGTGGCACAAGCAGGCTGGTGGACAGATCGCAGGGTCGGTGGAAAGATTGGCCGTGCACAAAAAAGGTCGGGAGGCGAGCGAAGGTATGACAGGGCGGAGTGTGGGATGGCGGGTTTCGTCATGTGCTCTTGGGTCGGCGTGCCGAGCAGTGCGCGACGGTGGTGTTTTCTCCCCCTCACCTGCTTCCTCCGCTTCCTTCCTCTCCTCCTCGTGCCCGCTCGCATGGTGTTCAGATCTGTCACACCGCGCTAGAGGGAGTTCAGTTCTGCAGCGCACTGAGCTATCTTGCTTCAGCGGGCCCTCTTGACTGTACTTTTGTAGAGGTCCTGGGTACATATGCAGGATGCACCTGGCAGATCTTGTGGAGTGCGGGAGGGGCCTTCTAGAGCATTGCCTGGCGGTTTTTGTTCTCTGATGGGGGGGGGCCTTCTAGAGCATTGCCCAGGGGGACCTTCTAGCGCATTGCCCCCCCCTCCTCCCCTCTAATGGGGTTATGGTTTTCTCTCGACGCTCCTGTGCCCACCTCACCTTCATCATCATCATCACCCCACCCTCACCTTCGCCTCACCGTCACACACCTTTCACCCTCATGCACTCACGGCTATCATCCTCGCCCTCGCCTCACTGTCCTCTTCCTACTCTCTCGCGCTCCAAGTAAAAGCCTGTTCTTGTCACCACCGTCGTCACCACTTCACGGCACCCATATCTCACCATCATCACTCTCACCCCCACCTCATTGCATCCTTCCTCGCACCATGATCTCCTGCGGCCACCAGTGTGAAAGCGGAATGGTTGTGTGTTTGCTCTTCCAGAGTGGGGACCTAAGCCGCAATGTGGATCACAGTGAAGCGCACAGCACAACACAACACTTCACAGCACAACACAAATACTCAGACACATACACCCACACACCGACACAGGCACACACAGACACAGGTTCCCAGGCACAGACACACACAGGCACAGACACACACAGGCACAGTCACACACAGACACAACACACAGACACAGACACAGACACAGACAAAGACACATACACAGACACAGACACAGACAGAGACACGCACTTGCACACGCACTTGCACTTGCACGCGCACACGCACACGCACACGCACACGCACACGCACTCGCACACGCGCACGCGCACGCGCGCACACGCACGCGCACGCTCACGCGCACGCGCACGCGCGCACGCGCACAGGCACTTTTAAGCCGGCGGCGCAGAGGCACCTCAGGCGCGGTCGACAGGTGGAGGTGCCAGTTGCGAACGAGTGTAGTCGAACGCGCCGTGATGAAATCATTCAGCCACGTCCATGCAGATTGGTGGTGGTGGTGGGAAAAAGGAGGCACTGGAACGCCGAAATGCAGCGGCCAATCATCCCGCGGAGCGTGGGTCGACGCCAGGAGTTGAAGCGCGAGCGGCAGCCTGGTGCTAATTCGCCGGTGACGACGCGCACACGCGCACACCCACACACCCACACACCCACACAACTGACACCCACACAGCCACACCCACACACCCTCACACCCACGCACCCACAAACCCACACACCAACACACACCCACACACCCACACACCCGCACACCCACACATCCGCACACCCAGGCACCCAAACACCCACACATCCACACACCCACACACCCAAGCACCCACACACCCGCGCACCCACACACCCACACACGCACTTACACACGCTCACTCACGCGCACGAGCACGCGCACACGCCCACGCACACACACACACACACACGCACACGCATACACGCACACACACAGAAGCAATCATGCAAGCACACAACATAACACAACACAACACAACACATCACAACACAACATAACACACCACACCACAACACAACACAACACAACACGCAACACACCACAACATAATACAACACACTACGCCACACCACGACACAACATAACACGCAACACACACCACACACGCAAACACACCACAGCACACAACACACAACACACAGCACATACACACACCCTCGCACATGCACGCGTAAACACAACAACATCAAAGCCAACCGCACAATATAAACACAACCACAAACACAAGCTCAATCACGATCACAGACACAAACACAAGCGCAAACACAACACACAATCACACACCACACAACACACACCACACAACACAACACACACACACACATACCACACACCACGCACCACACACCACACGCACACACACATACATGTATAATCGCTCAATGCAACTTGTCTTTTCCAGATTCCAGATTCTCCTCCTCCTCCTCCTCTATCTCCTTCCCCAAGGTCCTCCTCCTTTCGTCCTCACTCTTTCTCAGTCCTCAGTCTTCCCTCTTCCCCTCCTTTTCCCCACTCCTCCTCTCTCATCCTTATCGCTCTTCCTCCTCCGCCTCCTCCCCCCTCCTACCTCAAGTGCAACTCTGTGCCTCCTCCCCCCCTCCCTCCTCTATCCTCTATTCTCTTGCTCCTGCTCCTCCTCCTTTCTCCTCCCCATCGCTTTTCCTCACCCCAGCCCCCGGGCCCGCATTGAAGCACTCATCCTCGTCATCGTCATTCCTAGTTCTGACTCTTCATATCCTCTCCGCCTTCCCCCCCGCGCCTCCTCACGCCTCCTTGTCCTGCTCTCCCTCCTCGCTCTCCCACTTCCTCCTTCTGCTCCTTAGTCCTTTTTATTTCAATTCACTCCTCAACACTACGCACATCTCGCCATCCTCATCCTCGTCCTCCTCCTCATCCCCCTCATTCTTTTCATCCGTAACATCCGCCGCACCCTCATCACCAATGATGTTATCCTCCTCTTCCTCCCCATCACATTCGCCGTCGCCGATCATAGGTCACAACCGTTCTCCTCCTCACTCCGAGTCTCTCCGTCCCTCTCCTCCTCCTCACTTCTCATCCTCCTCGCACCCTCGCCTCACTGTTCCTCCTCCCCCTCCTGCCGCTCTCTCATCTTCCTTCTTGTGCTCAGTCCCTGGCTCCTTCTCACTCTTCATTGCTTTTCCTTTCTCCCCGCTCCTCTTCCTCGTCATCGCCACCGCTCCGCCTCCTTCTCCTCCTTCTCATCCTCCTTCTTTCTTATCCTCTGTCGATCTCTTCGGCCTCCTCACGTCTCCTCGTCTTTATCAGTTGTATTCTTCTGGTTCGCGAATGAGGGGCTGAAGGCAGTAGTGGCAATTCCAGATTGAGCACGCGCTGGCAAGGCGCCATGATTGGTGCGGCTGCGTCAATAAGCAACATGCAGAACAACGAAGTCCCGCTGTTCCAGCAGTCCGTCTGATCGTCTGCTAAGCGACATGTGCCAGACCAGTTGGACGCCAGGCATACGACTATGGTAGACCAACAATCCGCGTGCACACGAGCCATGGTGGATAACGTGACCGAAGGCATCGCGCGCTTCATCGGGAACCTGATGAAAACACACCTGCCTGTCACGACGGTTGCTGCCGAGAGGAACTCAGATGTGGAGACGAACGGGCCCAACGACATGACCAATCACGGGAACGCGACGTCCGATGCCAGCGACACGAGCATCCAAGTGAAGGCGTCCAGAGCCTTCAACACGATCGACAAGGTGACGACACGATTGACCCGAAGCGCGAGGCCAAGAGCAGCCAGTATCGAGTATGCGACGTTGGTGTGCGAGGCCAGCGACACGATCTACAGCGTGAAGGCGACGTACGAGGCCACCGACACGAACAATCAGGTGAATGCGCCCGAGACCAGTGACACCCTCGACACCGAAACGGCATGCAAGGCCATCACCAGTGCAGGCGTTCGATGCCAGCGACAGCATTGACGCTGTGCCGGTGCGGCGTTGGAAATCGCAGCACAATAATGGCTCCGCGACGGAGCGCGAGGTCAGCAACCCGAACATCCGTGTGAAGGTGGGCGTGGCGTGGCCTGTGACACATCTAGTGAGATAACGCAGACGGGCCAGGCCAGTGACACAGCCATCCTAGATACAGCCCGCATGGCCACGAAGAACGACTCACCCACGACGAGGAAGTCCTTCGGGCATCGAGCACGGAGGACATCGCCCATACGTTCGCGACCATTGAACACCAGCTCTAGACCGCGCGGCAAGAGGATACTGGACTGCGTTGTTGAGGCCCAGGAACTGCCGCACGAGGTCCGCACCACGATCGACGTGGTGACGGCCTGTAAGGACAGGTACACAATCGGCATTGTGAAGGGACCCCACCTATCATCTACGACGAGGAGGCCGACCACGTCTACCACGCCGCTGGAGTATCGATGGACGCGACCGCGGTACAGATCACGGAGGGATGTGCTGTCACGACGCTCGAGCTTCATTGCGAGGATCTGGACGCCACAACAGGAAAAGTGATTGGATTCGATGCCGACCGCGTCTGTGTCCGTCTCGTCCCCCCCCTTCGGCGACAAGCGCATCAAACCCCGATAACCTGCGGGTGTGTTGTCATTTATCCTCGACGCGGAGTGCCATGAAGAAGACTGAACGCCCATGTAGAGTAGTCGCTGCCCAACTTCGCAATGTGCGTATGGCCATGATGAGGCGGCGGGCACAAGAATTTGAATCAGTTCGCCAAAACATGTTTTAGCTCCGTAGTGAATGCTGCATTGTACGAGGCGCGTAGAAAGGACTTTTAGTTGGAGGCGCACCATGTGCCCCGTGTGTGCAACGGCATCTGCCGTCGGCCGCGCCTGAACTGTGGCAGCGCCCTTCGGGCTCGGCCAGTGCCTTCTCACATACGGCTCCGTAACCAACGGCGGCACGCCGACCAGCTGAGGCGATTCCGCCGTCATGATGTTGTTTCCGATGAAGTGCCAGTGGTTCGTGAGCGTCGTTGGCAAAAGGTGTTGTGCCGCAGCACCTGGGCCCTGCAGTTTGCTTCTCAGGCTGTCATGCCCATGCTGCCCCAGCCTGAATTTGTAGTACCCAAACTCGAGTACTTGCCCAACCTTGGCTTCCACCCGCTCCAGCCCATGGTCTCCCAGGGGACGAGCTATGAGGACTACGTGTCTTTCGTGCGTGATTTCCAATTGCACATGCGTGATTTTGGCTTAAGCTGTATGAAATGAAG